AAAATAGCTATCTTTGATACTGATAAGACGTGTATCTTGATTTTAGGTAAGTTTTATGTGGTAAGAATATAGTGGTAAAAATGTGTAAGACGACACTTTCACAAATTATGCTATTCTTATTTTGAGTGACTTAAAGTTTCTTGAAAACACTGAATATTCAGATATTAAAGTTGTCTTTTATTGCAACAAATATTCAGAACTTCCTAAAATGTGGGCTGAAGCTGCCTTAATGTACCAAAATACAGCTTTTTCTCAAGACTATTCACAAATATTGATGGTTGTACAATGTTTTGAGTATTTAATGTAAATTGTGGTAAAACTGTGAACTCTAAGTGTAGTAACCTTAATGTTGTAGGAAGAATGCTTGTGTTCTTTATCATGTATGCCTAAATATCATACATTGAATCTTGAGTGCAACAAATAAAACTGAAAGTTGACAATCACTAGGTCATGTCCATGACAATCATAAGAAAATGTAAGGTCAGATATTAATTATTCAAATTTTTTTCATGAACATCCTGCATTTATTCTTTCTAGCCCATGTTTGAAAAAGAAAAAAAATCCCGTAGGCTGATACATTAACCCATTGAGCACTTGATTAAATTAAAATTTTAAAATCTATTAATTTTTTTTTAAACTGTTGAAATTGTGATTGCTTTTTATATTTTGTCTCGGGAAGGAAGAAAAAAAAGACCAGACTCCCAGTGCTTTTTCGCAGTTTTAATAACCATAGATTCAAATTTCAGTTTTGTTTGTTCCGTGTTTTTCGTGAGTGTGAAATGGCCAGTGGGCAGGATTTGTCTTCCAGTAACACCGGTGAAGCTGTCTTCTTGGATTACACAGCGTTTCGTAGTCACAGGTTCTCCCCAGTTCATATTTGCACTGTGCAAACGCATAGGTGACAAACACAGAAGAGAAAAGCAGCCTATCTGATTGCTTATAAGCTTTTTTCACAAAATCACATTAAAGTCTCTGGTTCATTTGAAAGCTGTTGTTGTTTCTGTTCAGTCATTAGCCTCATATTCTGCATGCCAGTGAATAGTTACACGGAAAGCTGTTGCAGGAAGAGACTGCCGTGGTTCCTTGGAGATTGTCTACCCTCTCTGTCCACTTTGGTCATCTTTGTTGTAAATTGTAGTTTCCAACTTCAGCCATTGTATTAGTTTTCTATTGCTGCTGTAACAAATTACTACAAATTTAGTGACAACATAAATTTATCATCTTACACTTTCGTAAGTCAGAAGTTTGGTAGGCTTAGCTGCTGTTTCTGTTTCAGGTCACTCAAGGCTGAAACCCCAAGCTTTGGTGGGGCTGGGCTCTGGGAGAGAATCTGTTTCAAGGCTCATTCAGGTGGTTTGCACAATTCAGTTCCATGGTGCTGCTGTGGGACTAAGGTCCCATTTCCTTTCTGGCTCTTGGCTAGGGGTCATTTGAAGCTTCTAGAGGCCACCATCATTCCCTAGCCAACGGCTCCCTTCGTCTTCAAAGCCAGCAACAGGGGGCTCATGCTACAGATGTGTCCTGCCTCTTCTTCCACTCCCTCTCTCTGACTGGCTGACTGCCTCTTCTGCCTTCCTCTTCTGATTTTAAGGGCCCATGCGATTAAATAGGCTTCATATGGTTAGCAACCTTAATTTCATCTGTAAAGTCCCTTTTGCCAAGTCACATATTTACAGGTGTAATACCAGGGCATGAAGATCACAGAGGTCAAATTCTCCTTACCACAGCCGTAGAATAAGGAGGGAAAGGCCTAGAAGATCTCAGGCTAACAACAGAATTTTATACTAAAGCCTGCTGAGGTTAGAGAAGCAACGTAGGTGTGATCTTACGTACCGATAATGGTCACCTTCCATATTTACATATGTAAAAGCAACTTTTTGAAAAGCATTGTACTCTAGCCTTCCTTAAAAACACATCAGGGGCCGGCCCCGTGGCGCAGCGGTTAAGTGCGCACGGTCAGCTTTGGTGCCCCGGGGTTCGCTGGTTCGCATCCTGGGTGCGAACATGGCACCTCCTGTCAAGTCATGCTGTGGTAGGCGTCCCACATATAAAGTAGAGGAAGATGGGCACGGATGTTAGCTCAGGGCCAGTCTTCCTCAGCAAAAAGAGGAGGATTGGCGGGAGATGTTAGATCAGGGCTAATCTTCCTCAAAAAACAAAACAAAAGAAAACAGAACAACACACATCAAAGTCAAGATACAGAAGTAAAGATTTTAATTTGCTTTATGCAAACTTTAAAGAGAAGAATGGATTTGTTTATTAGTTAAAACATTTTTCCTTTATTTCCTAAATTGCATAGGTAATGCATGCTTACTGAAGGAAATTTAAAAAGTACAGGAAGTTTGAAGAAGCTGAAAAAAAGTCGTCCTAACCCTGTTACCCAGAAGTAATCACTTCTTTGGGGTTTCTTATTATATCCTCATTTTGTTTTCTTTTCCTATTCTTACCCCTAGAATCTAGCATTTTAAAAGTTCTAAAGATGTGCAGGAGAGGGGCTGGTCAAGAGAATCCCATGTTATCTTGGAATGCCAAGCGGCACTCAGAAAAAGGACGGGAACATTTTATTGGTGCCTGTTAGCAGGTTGCTGTGGTGGCCCAGCCTGCAGATGGATTTGATGGGCCAGCGTCAGCCTCTGTTAGGGTCAAGTACCTCTGCATGCTGTCTTTCATCTGACAGAATGTTGTTATCTTCACTGATACCTTTTTATGTAAAATTAAAAGTGAGATAGAACCTCAGTCTTTCCATTGAAACTTTATGCTAGATTAGGATTTCTAGGAGATAGATGACATCTGCTTGGGACATCACTGAAGTCTTAGTTATAGTGTTTACTTTAAAGAAGCTTGCAGATCAATAGTGTGAGAAATTTGGTTTCAATGCTATGATTTAAACAATGGAAGAAATGTGGCTGACAGTGAAATGGAAACAACCACCTTGAGTATGGATAGAAGCAGTTATTTTTCCTAAAAATATACTCCGTGTCAATAATAGCAATTAGGTACTAGTTTATATTAGGCCAAATGGTTTATACTTTAAAAACATAGAAGAATGTTCAGTTTTAAAAACCTATTAAATATATGAATGTAAAATTAATTATTACATCCTAGCCATTCTTTCAAGTCGTAAGATTTGAATTTCAAAAACATTTTTGTTTTCAGCATTTTCCAACTTCAGAAAAGGCCAGGTACTAAAATAACAGCACTTTGACAGTATTGTGTTTTAAGGGTTTAGACACTTATTTATATTAATACATTACAGCCTGAGAACAAGCCTGTGAAGTAGACCAGGTGAGTGTGTTACTAGCCCTGTTTTACTGATGAGGAAATTGAGGCTCAGAGCTGAGTCATGGAAGTAGAACGAGAAGGCGTTCCTCATCCGCCCTTGCGATGAGATGGAGAGTGCGTGGGCAGACCTGTCCCGGTTCAAGTTTAGTCCCTCTGCCACTCTAGGATTGAAAATACTTCATGTTTTTGTGAGGTGGCGAGAGTGATATATGGTTTACGATTTTCTTTTGGACAGGGTTATTGCATGAAACGTCTCTGCTCGGCATAGCCCTGTCCTTTCTCTCTCACTCACCTCCTTGCCCACAGGCCGTACTTACTCTCGTGCTCTCCAGGGCCCAGCGTAACAAGTCCTGCCCTGGAGTGTGGGACAGGGCTGCAGCTGCCTGATGGCCCTTCCTCTCACTGAGTAAATTCAGAGGGGTCCCAGCAGATATATATTCCCAAGCTTTGTTACCTGCCTTAATCTCATCTCCCAAAAAAGCAATTTCGGAGTCATTCCCTAATTCTCTCTCACCTCTAATCAGTCACCAAGACATTCTGTTTCCTTACCTCTGTAATACCTCTGACGGGGCTCCTGTACTATATATTTCTATTGCCGCTGTCTTATATTAAGGTCTAATGCTCTTTTGCCTAGAATATTGCAAAAACAACTCCTTTCTCTAGTCTATCACCCATATTGCTGTGATTGTTTTTTTCTCTTTTCTCTCTAAACATCTGGCATTCCTTCCTGCTTAAGACCTTAGAATGCTCCCCACTCTCTGGAGGAAAAGGTCCAAGTGAAATCTGTCCCATTGTGCCCCCAGCTCACCCCCCAGCGCCTGCCGTTCCCGCCAGACAGCACGGCTTGTGCATCTCTGTGCCGTGTCCAGCAGGGGTCCTTGTGTTTAAAGACCAAGCCTCAGGGTCGCCTTAACTGCAGAGCCTTTCTTGATCTAGGCGTGTCATTCCTTTCTTAGTGCCCTTTCTCAACTCTGGGAGTACTTTTGATTCCTGTCTTCCAGAGGGAGCTTGGCCTTTCCTGGCCACTGCCATTTGGAACATGAAAAGAAGATAAAAGAGCCTAGAAGCTTAAAAGGCAGTGTACATCCCTTAAAAAATAAAATATTATTATAGCTTGGCTTTTATTTTTCTTTCATGTAAGTAAAAATACGTATGAATTCTATTTGAATAGCTGTTCAGGCATAGACAAAAACTATTTTTCTTGTGGACAAGAGGATATATTAAACTGATACAGCATATATATTATTTAAACTTTGTTAAATATATTTAGATACTTCTTAAAATGATATTGGGTGAATTTAGGAATACATTTTCAGAATACTATTTACAAAAGAAACCAATTTTGAGCAGTATTTGTCTGATTTTGGTTTTATGACAAAGTACAAAGACACATCATTATTTTAAGGTTAGACTTTGGTTATACTATTTACTTTTCAGAATTAAATTACACCGAATTTAAACATACAACATCTTCTAGAAATTATAAACACTTGTGTACTAATGTTAGAAGCAAACTAGCCATCTGCACAGCTGACTAGGTGCCAAAGGCATGGTTTCTCACTGTGCATGTGGCTCATTAACAAGTGTTCAAATGCTAACACGCTGCTCACATCCTCTTGAGCCAGCAGTGAAACAGATACTGAAATAGACATTGGAGTAACCATTTAGGAGTAAAAGCAACATCTCAATGTGGAGGAAGTGTTTTTCTTTTTCTCTTCTAAATTCCTAAGGGAAGTTTCCACAGATTCTGCCACCTCAATTTGACGTGTAAACTGAAACTGATGGGAGGCAGGGCTAAGATCTCAGAACTAGTTCTCACTTGGGCAGCCCAAACCATCGATCTCCATCTTCCTAAGGTGACCAACATTGATGCCTGAGAAAAAAGAAAAATGTAAATACATTGTAAACTATAGTCCAGTGGAATAGTGAGTAAGAGATTCCTGGGGGATTTCTTATCCAGTTTAATATTTTTATGCTCCTTTAAAATGTTTATAAATATGCTCTGTAGAGATGTTTGATAACATTCTCAGGAGACACAATAAGAAAGTCTCTTCCAAAGTAATCCTTATAGAATAGGGTGTTGCATATCTAATTTTCAAAACTTTTCCTGAATTTAAATTCAGTAGTCTTTCCTTGAGACTAATGTACACAACAATGTATTAAGTATTTAGAATTCCTGATTTGAATTATAAAATCAAACCACTTACTTGAAATCTAGATGTTCAATTAGCACGTATCCATCTATAGAAACAAAAATCATTATTACTAATCTGAAAGTTATAGAGATGATTCTTTGAGATTTTTTTTAAAAACTGCTTGAAATTTTGTGGATGATAAGCCAATAACTTACATTTGCCTTTCGAATTGCGACATATCACTAGATTTTCTTCAGTGATATCAATGACTTCCAGCTCTTCTCCAGGGGTTATTGGCAAATCAAATATTCCATTTCTTGAATTATTGCTACATGCCACTGCTGTGTTGATGACAGTGATCTCTTTGTCATACTGAAACAAGAAGTTACTAATCAGACTGTGCTTGCATAGTTTTTATTCTTTTTCGTTATGACAAAATTAATGGAGGACGTAATATAGTAACCTCAAAGTAAACCGAACATGCTAGATATTGATCAGTTAGATAACATCTAAGGGAATAGAAGATAATGGCAAAATATTCAGTGAAAGGAGAGTTATTTAAGGAAATAATAGTAAAATACCACAATCATAAATTTGTTTGGTACAATCATATTTTAACGTGTTTTCGTACCAGTTATCTAATTGTACTAGAATGAGTTCTGGATGAGAAGGGTTTAACATGGGTACAAATTAAGTAACGTGGATGGTATGTTAACTGTTCCCGTAATAAAGTTACCACCAAACCCAGGAAAGGAGAAGTTAAAAAAAGAATAAAGAAGGAAAGAGAAAAACCTGTTTGTGTAGTGCGTGCATTTATGATGCTCTTGCATACCTGGCCTTGCTAGACAGCACTCTTCTCCGCCTTCCTCTCAGGGTGGGCGTATATATTCTTATACCTAGCTGTAGCACACACATTTTAAAGTAGTAGGAATGGAGTGTAGGGACCAAGTCCCACTCTCCTTTTGTCGTCAGAGATAGGCATTTGTGAAAAAACTGATGATGAAATCAATTTCTGACCTCAGGGGAGTTTTTCCTGTGTGATAAACTAAGCGGCCTCTGGATCTGAAGACACGTTACCTTCTAAAGTACTGAAATCTATTGACTGGAAGAAAATAGTTCCAGAATATGTAACTTATATTTACAGATGTCTGTCTCACCAAATTAGGGTGGCCAAACTTCTCCCTTTGCTCAGGACAGTCTCTATAGCTAATGTCGCTGTTTACAAGCACTTATTACGATCAGGTGTGCCTCCTTCCACTCTCGGAAGTGTTGAATTTGGTGATAAATTACAAGATCACTCTATAGCAGATGGGATCTGAGCCATAAAATAGATTTTTCGTTTGCCTAAAAAGTAATAGCTTCCTGGCTGATCTTACCTTACCAGACCCTTGTTCACTGTGAAGACACAGTGATTTCCCAAAACACAAGTCTGATTAGGTCACCTTCCTTTTTATATAGAAGATTCACATTTCTTAGCTTGACATTCAAGGTGCTTGGCATACGGTCATTCCCCATGCCCTTATCTCTGTCCCCTTTATTGAAGCCACATCAAGCTCTATGATAACCCTGAGTATACCATGTACCTTTCATATTTCCCTGCCATTGCTCATGCTGTTTTCTCTGCCTGAAATACTCTTTTTTCTCTTAACCACTTTGCATGAAGACTTTCATGACTGCTATGTATAATTTACTATTTTAATTGCACTTTGTATGTACTCTTATTGTAACATTTAATAAACACACCTTGTAAAATGAAAGTGAAACTTTTATTCATGCTTGTATGCTCAACATGTGGCACGTATGAGGTACCCAATTTTTATGATTTGAGCTGAATAAAAATTATTGAAATGGCATAGTTTTTCTAATGATATATCAAGGAAACCCACCACAGGTAATTAGGAAGAATGGACTCATACGTGTGTGAGAATGGGAGTTTCTGTCCCATATGAGACAGTCACAGACAAGATGGGGGAGAAAAGCACTAAACAGAATGTAGAGTCTTTTCAACAAGTAATTGTTACACACTTGCTCTTCACCTAATCAAATAACATCACAGTTTGCAGTAAATAATTTCATGTCACAATTTCTAGATATAGCGACCTTAATTGGCTTTGGTCCGAGCAGGAGTTCTTAGTGATTATGAGGAATCCGTGTGCATTCTTGTTTTAGTTCCAGCCCAAAAACATTTTTGGATGTTTACAAAGTGTTAGGTAGTCTTATTCTGCTCTGCACATGAATGTGAAGATAGACAATACAACCCTTGTCCCCTGGGAGCTCCTAGTTTAATTGATGAACATAAAATTACAATAATGTTCATGTTCTGTGATTAGCCAGAGGTTTGCTCAGGTATATAGAGGAAGAGTAATTTCTTTAATTGGCAGGTGTGGGTAAGTCTTCCTGGAGGAGAGGAGATGCACCCACTGGGTCTTGATAAATGAACAAGAGCCAGTCAGATGGAAAAAAGTAGCAAGAGTTCTGTATACGAGACAGTTGAAACAGACCAAGTAAATGCCTAGAGGAAGGAGTGTCAGGACAAGGACAGCAGTGGATGTTCATTCAAGGGATGGAAACGAGCAGTTTGCTGCTGAAGCACAAAGTGCAAGGTGAAGAATGGCAGAAAATAAAACCAGAAAGACAAGCAAAGGTCATGACATGAAGAGCTTTATGTGCCGTGTTAAGAAACTTAATCCTTATCCATTTGGCAATGGGGAATTTGGGAAAGATTTTAGGTACAGTAGTGACTTGGACACATTTTATGAGCAGGATGCACAACTTTCTCTCTCTCAATCCCGTGTCTGGTACGTGGGAAGTATTCAATATATGTTTCTTAAATTAAGAAATTCTCAGTGTGACAGTTTATGAAATCAGAAGGGAGGACCATTTGAACCTGGGAATTACGGAAAAATGCTCCATGGACTCAATGACAGAAGTGGTAGTCAAGGAGGTTCAGATGCTTCATTCATTCGTTCATTCACTGAACACTGTGTGTCCAGTTTGATTTGGGGAGCTTGAATGAGACAAAAATCTCTCCTTCAAAAGGGACTCAAGAGTTCAGTTCAGAATACACACACACACGTACATGCCGTAATGACGGATATGAGTATAATAGATACATAAAATACGCTGAGGGAATAACTGCCTGGACGGGTTAGGGAAGAGCGGGTGACATTTGAACAGAGCTTTAAAGAACATAGGAGCTTTTCCAGGCCGAGGGAAGGGCATGTACAAAGGCCTGAGAATACAGAATGTAGAAATACATCAGGAAAAAATCAAACATCAGCTAAGTCAGAGATTCTGTCTATCCCAGAGAGGCAGAGGTGCAACACCCTTACAGAATCTTTAAAAATAGAAATGCCCAGCCTTTAATCTTGCTAATTTTTACCTTTAGAGAAGAGCTTACCTCAAATCTTTCTCTAAAAAGTTTTTCTTCTCTTTCCATTCTGTTCTTTTCTAAGTTTTGCTTCTTAGGTCTGAAGAAATTTCTAGGAGATAAACTGGCAAGAAATATGCAGTAGGGTTAAATGTACCATCATAACACTCTTTAAGTTTCTAAATCTATCAACCCACTCTATTTCAGGATAAATTCAAGTACAATTTTGCGTGTATAATTTTATATAAAATGTGTGTATGTATATACATGTACATGTATATGTATATACATACACATCTCTGGAGCAGATTGTCAAACAACTGGACAGGGTAATACCAATCACTCTTCCCTACAATTAAAGTCTTTTTTTGATAGCAAGATAATTTGGAATAAAACCAAGTTGGTTAAACTAGAAACTTCTCTGAAGCAAACTTAGAAGCATAATTGTCTAAAAAAATTGTCTAAAAAAAAACTTAGGAAATTTCTAGATCTTCCTACTCACTCTCAGATTACTTAATGGAAAACAGTAAGAATAAATGGCTTCTCTCTTGTGGTCTGCCAAGTTTTCAAACCTATTTGGGGAATCACAAATCTGTGTGCCTCAATCACAGCACTGTCCTTTGCTGAATCACTTGGAGAAGGAGAGAATTAAGAAAATAAAGCAAGATCCACAAAACGCGCAAAATCTTTAGCACGTAGAAGTGGACAGCCCTGCAGCAGAGGCCGGTGCTCCTCTCCCTCCTCCCTGCTCCTCCCCTGCTCTAACGTGGGCTTGTGCTGTTGTCTAGCAATTTAAAAAACTGACAGATGGAAGAAAGTCAAGCAAGTCCTGTCTGTTTTATTCAGCAGTGTCTCCTACATCTGCTTCATTCTGTCCAGGATTCCAGCCACTGCCATATTTCACTCTTGCCCGTACTGCCATCCTCCTCTGGCCTCTCCTTTCTCAAATCATGTTCATACCTGCCTCCAGAGTCATCTTTCTAAAAATTAATTGATCATGTCTCTTAAAACCTTTCAATCTGTCTTGACAGCCTATAAGATAAAGTCACATTCCTTAGCCTGGTATGCAGGGCATTTTAGAATCTGGCCCCGGTCTTCCTCTCCAGCTGCCTTTTCCACATGGAACACCTCAGAAGGTGGGTTCTCATTTCCATGTCTTTCATACCTGGGATAGTCTTCCCCAACTTCTCTGAAAACTTGTCATCATCTTTGATTAATAAAGGGATAATGAAAGGACTGAACTAATGTAGAAAGCATTTCTTATTGACAGAATAAGTGATGGTAGAAACCACTGAAAAAGGAACAAAGAGCACAGAGAAATTGATGCATCAATCTACAGGAACAATGATAGCCTCAATGTTGCATTTTCAATTCACTCAGTTGAGAATAGAAGTAAACTATCACGTCAGTTTGTTGTAAGAAGTTAAAAAAGCACTAGGAAATTGTTTCCTAAAAAGACTTAGACGTAGTCATTAAAATACTAAAAAGCTTTTGGGGGAGGGGCAGACAGAAACTTCACTGATGTTTCCTCTCTTGGAATTCTGTTTTGCTATGCTATGCCAAGGTATGTAAAAGCATGATCTTCAGGTGGAAAGATGCTTTTCTAGTCTCTGAATATACCTT